GAGTAGAGGGAGGGGAGTTGAAATAAACATCGGCAACTCTAGTGTCGAAAATGAGACGTGACTGATCGGACTTTTTAGCCACACAGAACACTACAAGAAGGCCCTTCCTACCCCGCGCAGGTTGAAAACTTAACATCCCACGCCGGGCCAGGCAGGCCAGAAAGTCAGCGTAAGTAGAGGGAGAATGAGCGAGAACAGGGTCGATATAGGCTCCTTTGGGACAGGCCTCCTGCACCATAACCTGGGCCTCAGATGCTGGCCTCAGCATGTGCGATCTCCAATCCTTAAGCCAAGAAGAATCGACCTGTGAGAGCAAGCGATGTAGGTCTACAGGGACCGTACCCTCATCAGGCCACGCAGCGAGGTCACGCGAGTAAGGACGGGCGGGGCCCGCATCCCCATACAACGAATGGTTGCTCAGAAGCTCGCTGAGGGCTCCCTGAGCAAATCCCGCCTCGCTGGGAGGAGGGCCAAGACGACAGAAACAATCACTGAAGCGATCGAGCACTCTTTTCTGAGCAAGAGAAGCGGGGGCTGACGCAGCCTCCTTATATCCTGACATCTGGTTGAGGGCCTTCACAGCATCGTTAGCCCAACTGACTGAATGCTGGAGGCGAAGGCGGCGACGGCGCACGGCCCTGCAGACACTCGCTGGAGCATCGGAGCGGGGGCCGAGGAGAGGAAGCGGGAAAACATCTCTCCGCCGATAATCGCCAACAGAACGGGGATTCAAAAAGTCGCTCGAGCCCGGGCCCAAAACTCCCGAGCTCGGGGGTAAATCACGTCCCATCGCCGGGCCCTGTGCCATCCTTGCCGCCTTTCTTGGCGCCTTTCTTGGCTAGGGCCCGCTCCTCTCGCGCCTTGCGGCGCTCCTTGGCGATCTGGTACTCCTTCGAGAGTTGATCCTTCACGAAATCGGCCAACTGGGGACTCACGCACACACGTCCTCGAATCATGTCCGTCCCCATGTACAGGTGGTTGTCGGCCACACTGTCCGACCCCCCAGCCAGCCTATCACGGCATCGTTCTTCCTGCACTTGAATCGCACGGCACAGCGATTCGGCGCTCGCCAAGTTGGTGACCATGAGCTGATCGTAGAAGATCATCTGCTCCAACATCCGACAAGCTCTCTCGTGTTCGTCGACGCCCACATCGGATGGTGACAACTTGGCCTCGGTACGAAATCGCATATGGCGTCCCATGGGGCTTCCTCCATTCTGTTCCATGAACTTCAGCACCCATGGGACGGTCCGTGGGCCTCGAATTGGCCAGTCTGGCCACGCGTCCTCCCGCATCATCAAGATGGCGTCGCGGAAGGCACGGTGACGGTTGCCCAGCGTGTCGAGGGCCACGGGCTGCACACGTACATCGCTAGTGCCCTGAGGCGCCGCGGGAGCAGGTGCGGCACCGGGGGTATCGGGGCCGCGGCGGCTGCAGCTGGCGCCAGGGCCGGAGCTGCAGCCGCAATCGCGGGGGCGCCCGCGAGAGCCACAGGGCCCGCGGCGCCCGCGGGGGCCAAGCCTGGAGCAACGGCTGCCGCAGGCGCAGGCGGCGCCACAGCAGGAGGCAACAGGCCCCCCCCCCGGCCCCGCAAGGGCGGCTCCCCCAGCGGCCAGCGCGGCCACGGGGACGAGCCCTCCACCCGGTGCTAGGCCAGCGGCCGCGCCACCTGCTCCACCGCCTGCCGCAAGCGCACCTCCAGGCGCTGCGGGCGCCGGTACTGCCAGGGCCGCCGCTAGGCCAGCCACACCTCCGGCAGCTCCGCCTCCGACGGCTCCGACAGCTCCGGCAGCGGGCATCGGCATTCCAGCGAAACCTGCACGGCCGACTACGTTCACCGCGAAGCCTGGGCGCAACGGCAAGCCAAGGCGAACTGCAGCAGCATCTCGAAGTCCCTGCAGCGCCGCAGGCAGCGGCACATTCCGAAACCTGTGCACGTGATCAGCTCCGATGGGTCCAGCGTCCCGGCCGAGCGCCCCGCCCTCCAAGATCGCGAACTCCTGGATGTCGCCTCCTGCTGACAGATCCTCTTCGTATTGATCACTGTCCGGGGTTAGAATGCCGATGATCGGCTGGGCCCCAGGAGGAATCACGAGGATGATCCTTTCATGCCAGATCCGAGGCCCAGCCACTCCGTAACGTACGGCGATCACGTCGCCCCCCTGCAAGCGCATGCGGGCCAAAGGATTCGCCATCAGCTCACACGGTGAGCCGCCTGACTGCGGCTGCGAAATCGAGCGGCCTGCTCCCGGGCGATGTCCTCGATCGAGGGGGGGATGCCTATCTCGGGCGCGTCGCCAGCGCTAGCCTTCCGATCGCAGCGGCGCCCAGCCGCGAAGCCGGCCGCGCCCACGAGGCCCAGGCCGAGCACGAACCACACCCACGGGAACGGGCAGCTGCACTCCGCGCGCACCAGCTCCTTCGCAGCCTCACCCGGGCCGCGCACCAGCTGGGGCGAGCAGTAGCAGTCGGGGCAGGGCGGCGGCGGCCGCGAAAGCCCCCAGACCACGGCAGCCGTCTGCGCCGCTCGCGCTACCTCAGCCGCCAGGGCCTCGGCCAGCGCCTGCATGCGCGCGGGGGGCTCTGGGGCCGACCACCCCCTCAAGAGCTTGAGCCGCGTGCCACGGATAGCACGCGGGACTGTGAATTCTCACATGCGGCATCCTTGCGGGCAGACCCTCCTGTGCTTACAGAGCAAACATCACACATGATGATGGTGTCCCGATGATGATGATGATGATGATGATGACGATGATGATAACGATAGTGATGATGATGGTGTCCCGATGATGATGCTGCTGATGATGATGATGACGATGACTGTGTCCCGATGCTGCTGATGATGATGTTGATGATGATGATGATGATTGTGATGATGGCGATGATGATGATGATGGTGGTGTCCCGATGATGTTGATGACCGTGATGATGATGTTGGTGTTGATGATGAGGGCGGTGTCCCGATTATGATGATGTTGGTGATGATGATGTTGATTTTGATGCTGTTGTTGATGATGATGAAGACGTTGATTGTGATAGCGGTTGTGATATCGATAGTGAGATCGATAGTGGGACCGCATGTGATATCGATTGTGGGATCGATTGTGAGATCGATTGTGGGATCGATCGTCAGATCAATTGTGATATAGATCGAGTGGGATCGATTGTGGGGTCGATCGAGGGAGATCGATCGAGCGAGACCGATACTGAGATCGATGGTGAGACCGATCGAGTGAGACGTTGCCCCCCCCCCCCCCCCCCCCCCCCCGAACCTCCTTATCACCCGAAGGGTGGTCGTATAATATAAGAACATAGGGTTCCTCGGTAGCGAAATTCCCAACCATCCTGTGGCGTTGGGTCCTAGTTTTGAAGAGACAGCGCCCCGCGTCCCACCTCCTCCTCTCCACCTCCCCTTCCCCCCCATCCCATCACCATCACCATCGCCATCATCATCATCATCATCATCATCGCCATCATCATCATCATCCCCTCCCCTTCCCCACACCATCGTCACCATCATCACCATCACCCATCATCCATCAAAATCATCATCTGCAGCATCATCCTGACCCACATCCTCCTCATCATCATCGCCCACATCATCGTCCCCACCGCCCATGCCGCCACACCCCTTCACACGGTTCGCGGCCCCATAGGGAGTTCCACCGAAGGCCCCAACGGGGGTGTCCGCGTGCGCCCTCCCCGTCCACCGCAAGCTTATTTCGGCGCGCCCCTCACACGGCTCGTGGCCACATTGGGAGCTCCACCGAGGGCCCCAATGGCACAGTTCGCATGCGCACCCCCCCCCCCCCCCCGCCCACCGCAGGCCCATTTTGGCACACCTCTCACACGGTTCGTGGCCTCGTGGCCCAATAGGGAGTTCCACCGAAGGCCCCAGTGGCACAGTTCGCCTGCGTCCTCCCCGTCCACCGCAGGCAAAGTTCGGCACGCCCCTCACACGGTTCGTGGCCCCATAGGGGGCTCCACCGAAGGCCCCAGTGGCACAGTTCGCACGCGTCCTCCCCGCCCACCGCATGCCGATTTCGGCGAACCCCTTTCACACGGTTCGTGGCCCCATAGGGAGCTCCACCGAAGGCCCCAGTGGGGCAGTTCGGATGCGTCCTCCCCGCCCACCGCATGCAGATTTCGGTACACCCCTCACACGGTTCGTGGTCCCGCAGGGAGCTCCACCGAAGGCCCCAATGGCACAGTTCGCATGCTTCCTCCCCGTCCGCCGCAGGCCCATTTCGGCGCACCCCTCACACGGTTCGTGGCCCCATAGGGGGCTCCACCGAAGGCCCCAGTGGGGCAAGTTCGCATGCGTCCTCCCCGCCCACCGCATGCCCATTTTGGCACACCCCTCACACGGTTCGTGGCCCCATAGGGAGCGCCACCGAAGGCCCCAGTGGCACAGCTCGTGTGGATGGTTCCCAAGACATCCAAGGTCACCAAGATATCTGAAACAGTCTGAAATACTCTGAAAGGGAGGTAAAGATAGCAAACACCTTTTCAGTACATGACAAGCTGGACTCCTGGAAGGGGGTCGACGGACCCCCTTCCCCTTGAACCCAAACGGTTAAGGAAAAGGGGTCTCGGGTTCTTAGCTAAGCACACATAGCACTGGAAAGCGCACCCTGCGCTTTCAGATTCACACTGGTCATAGTCCACTGCTGAGAACCCGATGAAGTCCTTGAGTCTCCATGCACGTGCACTGGCTTTTCGGTGGTCTGGGCCTGGTAGACCTCCTGTGCCTCTCGGATCCACCGATCGGCCTCGGGCTCGTAGTTGAGGTCGTCCTCCTCGTAGTCGCGCTTGAGGCTGCCCGCGCAGTCCATCTCGTACAGGTCCAGTCCTGAAAAGCAGCACTCCACCGAGCAGGCATAGGTATGGTCGCCCTTCTTCTTCCTCATCTGTCGTTCTTGTTCCCGTCGGCGTAGCACGATGCTGTCCGCGGTGATGCCGCACTCGCCCAGCTCCAGAGCGTGTCGAAGTAGCGTGCTCTAACCCTTGCGCTTGGTGAGCGGGTCGGTCAGCTGACTGGTACCCTCGATCCATCGCAGGTGAACCTGAGGTCGCTGCATCGCTGAGCGCGCGATGGCCACGTCGATCGCTGCCCTCTTGTCCTCTGCCAGTCCCGCCTTGGGGTTAATAACATGACCGTGCCCGCCCCTGGAGTCGGTCACACTGATGACGGGAAAACGACCAGCGAGCAGGTAAGGACGCATCAGATCGAACTCGGAGTCGACGATCTCCAGCAGCATGGTCCTGATGAGCTCCGCCATACCCATGCCCTCCAATATGGCCAACGTCTCCGCACCAAACTGGTGAGCACATTTCCTCGTCAGCTTGTGACTCTTCCAGGATTGGATGGAGATGGTGGCCGCTTCGCCCTTCAAGATTTTACGCTGCGTAGCGAACGCGATGTATCCTGCGTGCGAAGCTCCATCTCGTGCATTGGCCCAAGCAGCGTCATTGAAGGCGGCGAAGGCCAGCTCGTGAAAAGGGATGTGTCGTACCTTGAGCACTACGTCGCAGAACTCCTTGGTCATGCGGCCAATACGATTTGCCTCCATCAAGTCGTCCACGGTGAGATTCGGCATCTTGCCCTGCAGGAAAGAGAGACAGGGCCGGAGAGATCGAGGCGACTCTCCCGCGCCAGGAACGAAATGGAGCCGCACAGGCTCCGTGCCTGATGCAACTCTGCTGGCGTCACTGGTGACTGCGGCGTCTTGCGCCTTTCTGTGGCGATGTCGATCAGTTGAATATTGGCGGATCTCTGGCGCTGCGAAATCGTGATCTCCGTGTTGTCGTCGTTCTGGTCGAGCTCATTGCCCGTGTACTTCCCCTTCTTGAGACGCCAGGCACCGAAGGGGAACTTCTGACGCAACTTCTTGCAGGCCTCATCGAACTTCTGGTCGCCACCGCCCACGATGTTGTCCACCGTAAGCCCCACGACGCCGTGCAAGCCCTCGTCGTCCCTGAAGTAGAAGACGCAGCCGTCAAAGATGGAGCACTGAAAACCGATCTCTTTGGCATAACTTGTGAAAGATGCCAGCCATTGTACTGGGGCGTCTCCGAGTCCATAGACTGCCTTGAGTAACTCCACCAGCGAGCCCGTTTCCACGTCTGGTATACCCGTCCGTGGTAGCTCCACAAATAACCTGCCCTGAGACCTGTCCAGTGGGTCTCCTGTCGTAAAAGCCGACGTGATGTCCGCGAGCTGCAGCGTCCACTTGCTGGTGTACAGGATCTGCAGAATGAGGAAAACCGAATCCTTACCAACAGCTGGGCTGTAGGTTTCGAGCTCCAGCAGGTCAGGGTCGGTGTGTCCCTGGACGGTCCAGCGTGCCTTGGCCATCCTCCAGTCGCTTCCATTCATGAAGAGCAGGGGCTTCTTGCTCGCGTCAGTCTCGTTGGGGTCGCCGCCCTTGTCCGTAAGCGCCCACCTGGAGCCCATGATCCGAGTGGTCAGTGCGGGATCCTGTCGAACTCGTTCTGCCTCTTCGGGATGGAGAACACGTACTGCACCAGCCTTTTGTATGTTGCCCCACTCCCTGCGCTTGGCTGAGATGTACGGCTGGTACTTGTAGGTGTTCACGAGAGCCTTCTCCGTGACCTCCTTGCGTCCTCGTTGAGCTGCACTAGTCAGCAGAGCACTGGTGGCGCCCTGAGCTTTTCCCCTCCTCTTCTTCTTGGGAGGAGCCTGCTGGTCCTTCTGAATCTTCTCCTCGATGGTAGCGATACGTTGCGCCACTGGTATCGCTGCGTCAGGGTTGACTAGAGCCTTCTTGATGGTGATCGGCACGTCGTCGAGGTGATCGTAGTACTGCGGATCCACAGGGATTGGATCTGCCTTCACGTCGGAGGACCGCTCGATCTCCACCGTCGGCGGCTCCAGGAAAGCCGCTGGTTGATCATCACCTGCTGGCTCTGGAGGTGCTGTCTGAGGTACGTCATCCTGAGCCTCCTCCGTTGGTGCGGGCTGCTTGGTCAGGTCCTCATACTTGCGCCTGCCGCGGTTCTCGGTGCTCACCTCCTCCTTCATCGTGTGGCCGATCTGCTCCCAGGCGGATATCTCGCCCTCGTTGGCGTGTCGAAGCTGTTATGGTGAGCTTTTCAGTAGTCCACCCTGGTCCGAGCACCACACCGTGCTTGGCAGCCCGGTCTGGATGACTCGTGCTGGGCCATGCCAGGAGCTGACGGGGAGTTTGCCCGTGCTACTCCTCCAGAAATAGCAGCGATCTCCAGGCTGAAAAGTAGTGCCCCTCTGCGGTCGAGTCCTTCTATTGAGAGCTCGTCGCCACTTCTCGGTGCACTCCGCCTCGATGTACGCTGCCATGGCTGCTTTGCGCGTGCCGATGCTCCTGGCAAGCTCGGCGTCTCCGTTCATGGCTCGAGATACCGTCGCCAAACTCGGCGAGCCCTCCTCCAAGATCTCTGGAAGTTGAAAGGGCCTTCCAACAACTCTCTGATAAGGCGTGAAACCACCACGCCGCACACTTTCTCCAATCGCCACGTTGACTGAGTAGACCAGCTCGTAGAAGTCGTCCCAGTTCTTGGTGTTGAACTTCTGCCTGGTGCGGTAGAAGGTCTCCTTCCAGGTGCCCCCAGCCCTCTCAGTCTTACCCGCCTGCCATGGCGAGGTTGCGCTCGTCACCTTCACCTCCGTGCCGTCTCCTTCAGCTGCGTCTGGAAACTCGCCTGTTGAGAAACCCGTCTCGCCGTCTATCACGATGATCCTGGGAGTGCCGTACGCACGCTTCCAGAAAGCACGATAATGTCGTCTGATCTGCTGACCTTGTCTGCTCGGTAGCGGTATCACGACTTGGTGCCCCGTCCCGTGACACACGATGTTGAGCATCGGCACCTTGTTGGTGTTCTCAGGACCTAGGACGAAGAAGATGTCCATGCCGATGACGTCGTTGAACTGGTAGGTCGTGGGGGCCTTGGACGGTTTGGCCAGCCTGGGACGCTTGTTTGCCTCACAGCTTGGACAAACCAGATGCTGCGCGGCCTCGATGAAGGCCTGGCGAGCCTTTCCATACTTCAAAACCAACACAAGATTCTCGTTACTGCAATGACCCATGTTCTCGTGTATCTTATGTACCTGCTGCTTGACATGCGGATCCGTGCTCCTCTCGTCCTTGTTGTTGGAGACAGGCGCCGCGCAACAAGACACACACTGCAAACTTGACTTTTCGTCGTCCATCTTCGTCTCGACGGTCGCCAGATCGCTCATCTTGGCCTTCGCGATAGCTCGTACCAGAGCTCCCGGAAGCTCCTGCAGGGGCATCGGCACGTCCCCCAGCTTGTTCTGCATAGAGCCCTGCACGAACTCCTGGCTCAGCATCTTCCCGTACTCTGACGCCTGGCCAGGCAGGTTGGTCAAACATGCCCGTCCTCGTGCATTAGCGTTCCCCGAGAAGACCTCGGGAAGTCGCCCCAGCTTCTGGATGAGCGGGTCATCCCATTCTCGAGAGCTCTCCTCCTGCTCGCAGTAGAAGTACCTGCCGTTAATCGCCTGCTGGATCGCCATGTTCGACATGAAGGTCATCACGTCCCTGCCGATCTTCTCCTTGAGCTTCTTGTTGTAGATGTCCTTGGGCGGCTTGATGATCACGAGTAAGGGACTCGCACTCTTGATCATGTTCCACGCCTCCTTCTGCCCACTTCTCGCTAGTAAGTGATGTCCTGCCACGACCATCACATGCTTCCGCTCTGTAGTTTCGTGCAAGGGAACCCCGCCAGTCTCCATCATCTCGTCGTCATCATGAACCTGCTCGTCCAGCTGGCCGATGAAGGCGGTGCACTCAGGAATCGCGTCCTCCATGGCCTCCCTCATCTTGTCCGTTTCGCCTAGCACCTTGAGCGCCTTGCTGATCTTCCGCTCCTCCTTCTCGGTCAGCTCGTCTACTGGTCGCTGATGTCCGCCCCGAGGTGGCCGCGCAGGTTCTCCACCAGCTGGTTGGTCGTCGCGTTGGCGTTCTCGTCCTGCAGCAGCTCCTTCAAGGCGATCAGAGCCCTGCTCCGAGGTGACTGGTCCTGCACCTCCTCGTCCAACGTCTCCCACTCCTCCTGCTCGGCCGTCTCCGTCAGACCCTCGATCTGATCCTCCGGCTCTGCAGTTGGACCTCCCGACTACCTCGAGGTCGATCTGGCTCTCGATATCGGCCCCATCTTGGCGTGGCGCGCTGCTGCGTGTCGAAGGCTCTGGTGGAGTTCCCGACGAGGTCCGTGCTTTCGGTGCTCGGGGTTGCCAGCCCTTGATCTCCGCCTCCAGGATCTTGTACTCCTCGAGCTGCTCGCAGATCTCCTTCATGTTGGGAGCTCCCTTGGGGTAGAATTCCACGTGTAGCCTGCATCCGCTGCACTGGCTCCAGAACGCTCTCGCATTCCCGCCGTGGCGGGTAAACTCGTGAAGGCAGGGCTGCTCCTTCTTGGGGTCGTGATCTCTGGCCCTCGTGCCCACAGCTGGTGTCCGAGGTCCTTGGTTCTCCACACCGTAGTAGCGACACATCATCACTCCTGTGGGCGGTCGGCTCTCCGAGCTGACCTCGTGCCAGGGCCACTTGAACTTCGGCGCCGTCGTCTTGGCCTGGCTCATGGTGGCGTCCGACTGCCGCCCCCTCAGCGGCGACACCTTCCGCTGCATGAAAGAGGACGAGTGCTGCGAGCGCTCGTCGCATGGCATGGAGATATGGAAGCAAATCCAAAGATATTCTGCGCGTTCGGCTCGAGCCTAACTGCTGACGGAACTGGACGATGTTGTCATTTATGTTCTTCAGGTGCTTGATGTTGATGCTGTTCTCGTCGGCCTTTATGTTGTCCACGTGATTGCTGTTGATGCTGTTCGCGTGTTTGGTATTGTCCATATTCTGCTTGTTAACCTGAACCTTGTGTTTGTGCATTCCTCCTCATAATCCTCCTCCTTGCAGTAGTATTGCTATGTGTGCTGCTTTTTTTTTGTCTGGCGCTCTTTGCTGTCCTACTGATTGCTGCCTGTTGTGTTGTTCCAACTTCAACACTTGAAAACATACAGCCTCTTTCATTATGATCCTCACTGTCGTTTACGAGGTCCTCAGAGATGAAGAAGGTGGAGGGATGCGTATACTCGGTCCTGGAACTGAAATCCATAGAAACCTCTGTCGTGCACAGTGTCCAGCTTTCAAGCTTACTCCACGGTCTCGTGAAGTTATCCAGCTGCAACAAGAAGTGCCCCCCCTCCAGCGTGCGCCAAAGGGAGCCGCAGGCTCTGCTCAGGCAAATCCAACTCCGACTGAAATGCATGGAGGGACGCCCTCACCTCCACAACGAATGGCTTGGACAACAAAAGTGGAGCCGCTCCCTGCACCAGGCACACAAAGATGATACCGACGAAGTCGCCCAGCATGATCGGGATGATCACCCCGTCCGTCGCCGTGCAGATCTGGTCATTGCCGAACCTGTCCTTCTTGTGGTACGGGATCGTCTGCAGCGTGATGCCGTGCTCCTTCTTGTAGTGTATCTCCCACTTCGCGTAGGTGCCCAGCCACATCATGTTGAAGCCGCAGGCCGTGTCGAGTGCTCCCCAGCCCGGCCTGCCCGACGTCTTGGCGTCGATCACCAGGTTGATGTGCTCTACTAGGTTCGACCTTGACGCCATCTTCGCCTCTGTCGCCATGTAGATGCAGATCTCGGCGTCCTGCAGCACCGTCATGGCGATGAAACCTCCCGTCGGCTTATTCTTGTTCTTGGGTTTGTCGGGGCACTCTCGATGCCAGTGTCCAACCCTCTTACATATGCCACACTTCGTGCGTTCCTTGATGTCCTCTATCTTGTCGTTGAGCTTCTTGCCGTCCTGCAGTTTGCGAAATCCCCGATTGGTCTTCTTGTCCGCCACGATCCTCCGAGCCTCGCCCCGCGTCCGCGGCTTCGTCGGTGGTGGGACGATGGCCGCGAGGCAGTCGAGCGCCTCGACCTCCGTCAGGATCCGTTCTCCATCGTCAGCTGGTTATTGTCCGTCGGGCGTTCCATCGTCGTATATCCCGAGCAGGTTGGCCATCGCGTCGTACACAGCACTCTCTGCATCACCGCCCTCGGACATCAGCGGCTCGTCCTCGCCGATTCCCTCCAAGTATGCCCCTTTTGTCGGTGTACTATTCTCGGTCACCGTGCTGTCGTCCGTCATCCGCTTCAGAATCGAGACTAACTTGTTAACGTTGTAGCCGTAGCCCGTCTGGATGAGGACCTGGTTCCTTTCAGTCTTGGCCAAACCCGCTCCTCGCAGTAGCAAGAAACCCATGACCGTGTCGTTCAATGCGTTGGGGAGTAGCCGTTCTAACTCTTTCTGTTCCGCTCGTACTCGATTGGTGAACTTCATCAGCGTCTCTTCTCTTGCCCTAGAGGCCGCAAGGAGAATCTTTTCCAGCTGCTGGAAGGTCTCCGCGTCTGCCTCTGGGAACGCCAACGTGTCCAATGCCAAAATGACTGCTTGTAGACCGCCTGCGTACTGTACCGATCCTGGTCGTAGGTGCCGCGTCGCCGTCGCCGCCTCCTTAGTCAAGTGCAGTAGCAGGGTCTCGCCCTGCTCCTCGGGTGGTACCGCCGTCAATCTGCTCCATCTGTCTATGGCCAGCCTCTTCTCTGGCCACTCGCTGAGGTCCTTTCCGTCCCAAGTCGGGCAAGGTGGGTCTTTTCCTTTACGGCCTCCACGTCGCTGGTCGTGTTGCTCGTGCTCCCCGCCCGACTCGAGTCTTCCGTGCACCTCTGCCATCGTCTTCTTCACCTGCTCTGGCGTACCGAACCCTCTCGACTGCACTGACCTCTCCGAGTCCGTCTCCGAGCCGCCTGAGCCGCCCTTGCCCCGCAACTCGTACTTACCTGCCGAACCCCCTGAGTCGTCGTCCTCGCTTGTCCACTTCCAAGCACCCCAGTTGGACATTTGACTCCACGTTCGATCCCAGGAAAATGAGCTGCCGTTCCACGTCGCCCAGGGGTCCCAGGAGTCGCCCTTCATGCTGTCGTGCTGTCCGCCTCGCTGCCCTCTCTTTCGTGACTGTGACCATCTCAGCTTCTCCCCGTCGCCCTCATCGTTCTCCTGAGGTTCGTCTTCGACACGTTCCCACGTGACATCATCGCAACGGCCGTCGTAGCCGTCGCTCCGCTTACCACATGCGGATGGTTCCCAAGACATCGAAGGTCGCCAAGATATCTGAACAATCTGAAATACTCTGATCGGGAGGTAAATATAGCAAACACCTTTTCAGTACATGACAAGCTGCACTCCTGGAAGGGGGTCGACGGACCCCCTTCCCCTTGAACCCAGATGGTTAAGGAAAAGGGGTCTCGGGTTCTTAGCTAAGCACACATAGGACTGGAAAGCGCACCCTGCGCTTTCATATTCACAGTTCGCATGCGCCCACCCCGCCCACCGCATGCCCATTTAGGCACACCCCTCCCACGTTTCGTGGCCCCATAGGGAGCTCCACCGAAGGCCTCGGTGGCTGCGCCCGCATGCCGCCCCCGCACCCATTTCGGCACACCCCTCACACGTTTCGCGGCCCTAAAGAGAACTCCACCGAAGGCCCCGATGGCAGGGTCCGCATGCCGCCCCCGCACCCGAAACCTCACACGCTTCGTGGCCCCATATGTGGGAGCACCACCGAAGGCGCCTGTGGCTGCGTCCGCACGCCTCCCCACCATCCATTTCGGCGCACCCCTCATTCCTCACACGTTTCGTGGCCCCTGGCCCCACATCGAGCTCCACCGAAGGCCCAGCGGAAACTTTCGCCCCCCGTGGGCCTCTTAAAACAGTCTGCGAACGTTCTGCCGGTGCGAGGGGCCCGCCAGAAAGCCCTCTGTAATGTAATTCGCGCCATATCACGTGCTCTAATGTTTTTTTCTTTCAACGGAGCTGCCTCCTGGCCTGCGCGGGTCTGGAGCCTGGCCCCCAACGACGCGGTGCGAATTCCAGGTCGCAGAACTTGTGAAACGGCGTTGTGAACGGCCTTCTCTACCTCGTCGCAAAGCGCCACTTGGCCCTACACGATGTTCAATAGCGCCCGTGTGTGCAAGTCTGCATGGCCGGGAAGGGACCCTGAAAAGGCCCCCTGTCCGGCGGCGGGAGAAGGGCCCTGAAAAGGCCCCCTCTCCCGCCTGTGCGTTGCTGGACAGGGGCCCTGAAAAAGGCCCCCTGTCCGGCAGCGGGAGGGGGGCCCTGAAAAAGGCCCCCTCTCCCGCCTGTGCGTTGCCGGAGAGGGGCCCTGAAAAAGGCCCCCTGTCCGGCGGTGGGAGAGGGGCCCTGAAAAAAAAACTCCCTCTCTCGCCTGTGCGTTGCCAGAGAAGGGCCCTGAAAAGGCCCCCTGTCTGGCGGCGGGGGGGGGGCCCTGAAAAGGCCCCCTCTCCCGCCTGTGCGTCGCCGGAGAGGGGCCCTGAAAAGGCCCCCTGTCCAGCGGTGTGAGGGGGGGCCTGAAAAGGCTCCGCCCCCCGCCTGTGCGTTTCGGGAGGCGGCGGGAGGGGGGGCTTGAAAGGGCCCCCTCTCCCGCCTTTGCGTTGCCGGAGAGGGGCCCTGAAAAGGCCCCCTGTCTGGCGGCGGGAGGGGGGACCTGAAATGGCCCCCTCTCCCGCCTATGCGTTGCCGGAAGTGGCGGGAAGGGGGGCCTGAAAAGGCACCCTCTCCCGCCCGTGCGTTGCCGGAGAGGGAACTTGAAAAGGCTCCCTGTCCGGCGGTGGGAGGGGGAACCTGGTGGCGTGGCGCAGTTCGCATGCGCCCCCGCCACTCATTTCGGCACACCCCTCACACGCTTCGCGGCCCCATAGGGAACTCCACCGGAGGTCCCCGTGGCGCAGTCCGCATGCGTCTCCCTCACCCAGTACAGCGTTCGTGGCCCCATATGGGGCCCCACCGAAGGTCCCCGTGGCGCAGTCCGCATTGTGTTATTCGCTTTCGTTCGCGTTGTGTACCACGCCACTCATTTCGGCACACCCCTAGCACGGGTGGGTCGTTACCTCATAGGGATGAGGGCGGACCGTTTTCGCGCAGACTCTTCTATATCATGCGGTGTGCAGCAACTGATGAGATCACGACTCTCACGAACGCTTTACAAACTGGCGGGAGCCTCTGAAAGCTTCTCCAGAGACCCCCATTATAAGGTCAGGGATACAAGGGTTGGGCTCGCGCAGAGGTCACAAGAAGATTGGGCGGGAAAACTTGGAGCATAACTGGGCAGCGGTGCAATCCAGCTCGCAACTCCCACTGCGCTCTCATTCCAGTCCCAGACAGTGCCATGAGGGCGAACTTTTCGTGCAGACGCTTCTATATCATGCGGTGTGCAGCAACTGATGAGATCACGACTCTCACGAACGCTATACAAGCTGGCGGGAGCCTCTGAAAGCTTCTCCAGAGACCCGAATACACTAAGTGCCCAAGACCATTTATGCCCTAGAACGACGAAGGAGTTTAAACACGGCCCTGACCGGAAAATCGAGCCACGTGACTGTCGTGATAAATATCGGCGAGCTTTTGTACACAGAGGAGGTGGGTAAGGCTGGGCAATTAGGGTCCAGAGCTTTCCGTTTGGGGCTTTGCCAGACAGCTCAAGATGCGGGCGGCCCGTTTTTGAGCACACACCCCTGCCAGAACATTTAAAAGGCTCCAGAGACCTACAACACTCTTCAGGAACATTACACAGCATGATATTTGTTGCCTTTCTCCACCGGGTCCCAAGCAGACAGAAGTCAGCTCTCTGTATATACACACGCGGATGGGCGGACAGCCTCAATACTTCAGGTAGGATCCAGAACATGGAGGTGAGAGGGTTCTCAATGTTGCACGGAAGCTTCATTCTCAAGCACAGGCGGAACAGCTTGATAGTGAACCGAGTCAAGATGTTGCCAACTCTCACCTTCTCCAAGTCTTCTGCGCTGAGGTTGTCGAGTCCCCACGGGTGTTGGTTTGAACGAAGTGGCGGAGGACGCCCCCGACGCGCTCGGCTCAAAGACTGACAAGGTGTCGCAATCATCACTCCTCTGACTTTGCCAATCCGAACTCTATTCAATACCGTCTGCTGATTCTTTTTCTTCCGTAAATCGTGGTTTGGGCCGAACACGATATCTGTCTTGGTCGGCCGGCCTCCTTTCTTGGCTACTTCGACCGAGACGCCCCCGCAGCCGGCGTAGACGCCCTCAAAACCCCAGACCGCGGCAGGGAGGGAGCTGCGGGGACGGCCAGGCCGTCCAGGAAGACGCGCCGAAGGTTGTGATCGCACCACATCGCAAACTTCTGGAAGCTCTGGGGAAGGCGCTGCCACTGCGCCTCAACTCGGCCTCCTTTCTCGTAGCGGGCGACGCTCTTGTGGCTGCCCCACCTGCCGCGCTTCATGATTTCGTCGAGCGTCCTTCTCAGCTGCAGGCGGTCCCACGATGCGCCGCTGTGCCTGAGCTGGTAGGGCGCCAGCCCGGGCAGCCCGAGCCGCTGGCAAGCGGCCTTGAACTGCCTCAGGTAGCTCGCGTAGCTGTAGTCGAACAGGGGCGCGTCGCCTTCCTTCCCGCGCGTCAAGTCGCCGAGCAGCTGCGTGGTCCACGCGTCCTCCTTGTCCCAGACCACGGTGTCGTCGTTGATCCCCTCCTTGGCGGGCTGCAGCTCCTCGGACGGCCGGATGGCGAAGGTCCAGTGCGGCCCCGCATTCGCCGACGGCGGGATCAGCCACTTCGCCTTCAGCTCGTGGATCTCGCCTGGGCGCCCGTAGGTCACGAGGGCAATCGGCGTCTCGATCGCCATCGTGCGAAAGCCCGCACGAACCAGCTCGGCCAGAATAGCAGCCCACACAGGGCGGGCCTCCGGGAGGCGGGGCTGCCCAGGTGCCAGGCGGTCCCAACCCTGGAGGGCACGGTGGGCTCGAGGGGGCCGACGCGTGCCAGCCCGCCCAAACTCCGGACGGAGCCCCTTGATGGCAGCCAGCAGGTAGTGCCCGACGCTGCCGTCCATCCCGTTGAAGAACCGCTCGTCGAACACCTCGATCAGCGCGCAGTCGATGTCCTCCGGGGAGTTGAGCGAGAGCCCGAGCCTCACGCGCTCCCGCTCGAACTCCTCCATCACCTCGATGTACTGCTCGTCGACTTTGTCGCCCACAGCCTTCGTCTCGAGGAACGAGCGGCCGAAGGTGTCTGCCTCCAGCGAGAAGCGATCCTGCCTGGCCAGCGTCGCGCTCAGCCTCCTCGTCTTGGCCGGCTGCGATGCCGGCACGCTCCGCGGCAGGCAGGCCACCAACCGTTGCTTGGTCGGCCGGGGCGCCAGCGCCTTCACGCGGGCACAGCGGCCGTTGCTGGGGAGCCGCCGCTCCTCCCGCCGCCCCGAGCTGGCCGCGGCCTCGGGCGGCGAGGTCGCCATCCTTCACCCGTCGCGGTCCGGGCTCATATCGCCGAGACGGGCCGTCTGCGGGATTGAGCTCAGATGGCAACCACCGAACATGGCAACGGATGTTCCTGGCCAGGCACAGAGCACACCACCTCCGACAGCATATATTCATTTTGAAGTCGGAGGCCCTCCCCTTGCAGAAGGCCAGGATCTGGCCCAAGTTGTCGCCCAAGAACACGATGTGGCGACCTTCGATCCCAGGACGTTTTACGTGCCGACGCAGGGCCCAGATCATCCCTTTGGCCTCCAGAACGTGAATGGGCTCCTTCCGGGTGAATCTTCCAGAGTACACGAACTTCCAGGAGGCCTCGAGGATCCAGTCGGGGCTGATGTCGGAGAACTCGGGGCCCTCCTCCCAGAACTCGTCGGGGTCGTTAGTGCCCTTGGGAACGTAGATAGTGAACTTGTCCTCCAGGGCATCTCGAGAACCTGCAAGAGCATGGGGCCGATGAGACATGTCTTGACGAACCCGAAACCCCAGCCGCTCGTCGACCCTCCCCACCTCTTTCAAGTTTTTCTCGTCCCAGATACTCTCGACCACTCCCCATCCTGCAGGGCAGGCGTCCGTCGCCACAACCTCGCAGTGCCAGGGCAATTTCCACTGAGCAGAGGCGAAGGGAAGTAACGCGCGCGCTGCACAAAGCTCGGCCCGCACGGACCGCCGCGCGGAGGGCCACAGGTCGACCTGCCCACCACCAACGTTCCTCATGAACTGGTAGGTCGCAGACAAAACCGACAACAGAGGGCGGCGGAGCATAAAATGAACGCGAGGTGGCCTACGGTCGACTCCAGCTGGTGTCCAGACGCCGCCCCTCGGTCCAGCAGCCAGGTGAGCAGGCTATCAATCTTCCGCATTCTCCTCAAGGCGGTGGCCACCGTGCCGGAGCGGCCATCGATCGCTACGCCCAGGATCTCGGCATCATTCTGGGCACGGGCGTGCTCATGAGTGGCCAGGCCGACGTCGTCGAGAGCGTCGCAGGCCTGATCCTTCGGAGTCTGCACCTCCTCACGGCTGGCCACCCAGGAACTCCGCGTTGTCGACGTAGACGTAGTGGAGGGGTTGCCCGCCGGAGGTGATCAAGCGCGAGTCGCCGAACGTCTGAAGCCGACGGTCGGCAGGCGCGCCCGTCGCGGTCTCCACCTGCTTGGTGACCGCCTCCTGCACTAGGTAGAGAGTCCACTTAAAACCCATTGGGGGCACAGCGAAACACGGATGCACCCAACGGTCACGCGACAATCTCTCCCCCTCGGCCTCGTGGATGCCAAGCTCCTCCGCCCTCAGGGGCGGCAGCGCGAAGTACCGGCTCAGCTCCACGTCGATCTTGATGCGGTAGAAGTCGTCCTGCACGTCCCCCGTGCTGACGAAGATCTCGGCGTCGTCGTCGACCTCGATCGGGCCTGGGGACTCGGCAGTCGCCAACTCGACCCCTGGCGGGTCACGAAATCGGCGGTTGCTGCGACGAGCGTCCACCACCAGTCGCAGTTTCCCCGACTTCTTATTGGCGCAGAACACAGCGGCGCGCTCCTTCGACGAAGTGCAACACCGTAAGACGCCAATAGACTCCAGCCTGCGGACAAACTTGATGTACGCCTCACGGTCGCGCGACAAGATGCGGTCCATGTATGGCGTGATCGGCTCCGAGGTGTCCGCAAGCTACCAACATCCAGTATCCGATCTGACCATGCGTTCTTCAAAATCTACCAGCATAGATGCAGCGCCAGCCGGCGCAACATCCACCGCACGAGGGCAGTCCTTGCACGAGGCGGGCACCGACAACAGCTCTTCCTGGTAGTCGCTCACAACGTGCTCATCCGAGTCGTAGCCGGCTCGGGAACGCAGAAGCGCGCGTGCGGCTTCATGCGGGCGAGGTGCAGTATCAACGGCCTGAGAGCGCTGCATCACGCTCCGCACGTGCTGGGCGGCCTCGATCTGCGCCGGGGAGCCACCGCCGCCCGGGAGTCGCCTTCTCGCCGCACCCACTCAGCCAATTCAAGGCGTTGATGGCGTCGTTGGTGCGATGGGCGACGGCATGACGACGGGCGACTCGTTGGCGCACCCCTCGGCTTAGCCCAGCCGGGGGTGGCCCCTCCTCCACCAGCGTCGGCAAGGGAAAGAACTCGGGCTGCATCTCAAAAAAAATCAAGAGGCTCAGCACGGCGACGACCGCCAAGCTCAGCGCCAAAAGCGCGCCCGCGGGCGCTACCCCTCCGAGGTAGAAGCGGCCTGCAGCGGGGTCCCTGCAGGCCGCCGTCGCACAGCTAGTTCCCTCCTGCGCCTCCAGCCCCTCCTTTGGCGCCCGCCTTAGCCTTTGGAATGGCGGCGGCGCGCACCTCTTGGGCCTTCTGGCGCTGCTTCTCGATCTCAGCCTTCTCCTTGGTGCGGGTGGCGACGTGCGCCGTCAGGGCCAGCGCGATCCCCGCCGTCCGCTGATGGTGGCCCGACCACAACTCCTCGTCCTCGAAACGGCCCTCGCCGGGCCCCCTGCTGGCGGCATCCAGCAGCAGCTGCACCCCCCTCGTCAGCACCTCGAACGCGGCCAGCGAGGCAAAGTTCAGCTGGTCGTAGCACCCTGCGTGCTCCAGGAGCCGGCACATGGCCTGGAGCTCGTCCGCGAGGCGGTCCGAGGCGGCGATGCGGTTCTTGGTTAAGTACTTGTGGTACCATTGCATCGGCGAGCCCCCGGCGCGCTTGATGTTCTTCGCCATCCACAGCATGGCCCGGGGGCCCTCGACGGGCCAGTCCTCGTAGAAGCTCTCATGCATCTTCGCGACGGCCTCCTTCCAGGAGCGAAACCGCTCCCCTTGTTCGTCACGCAGCACAGCCAAGGTCCTCGCGTCGTCGCCCACCTCGTCCGTCGAGCTGGCACCCTGTCCCTGGGGCAACTTCCCCAGGCCCGGCGAAGCCTTCGGCATCAGGGAGACGATCTGCTTCCACCTCCGCTCCGCGGTAGTCGGCCTCGTCCTCCACCAAGGGCAGCGCAGCGACCGCCGTGCTGTCGTCGGGCGGCGGGGTCGCGGTCCCTCGGATTTCTTCAACATCTCCGTCACCCAGTCGATCTTGTTTGCCTCGAAGTCGCCTCGGTGGCGGCACGATCCCCCCTCCCTTCCAGAGGTCGTCCAGCGCCACCACCTGGCCGTCCCACAGCTGAGCGAACGGCACGGTCGTGATCACCCCGTCACTCGGCCGAGCTGCCGACCTCGCCAACAGCTTCGCCTCCGTCATTTTCAGCCTGAGGGCCCGCGGGCCCACCTCCTCCCGAAATCGGTACCGCGGCGTCACTACATGGGCGGGCACGACCCCGCCAGGCGCCAACACGATGAACTCCTCAATGTCAGCGCCCACGAACTCCTCGGACATCTGATCCCCGTCGGGCGACTCCGTCACCCACTCTCTGTCGTTCACTGCCCACAAACACAATCTCTCATGCAGCAGGTCCTCCCCTGCGTCCGCGTAGCGCACGAGCACTCTAGAGCCGGGCATCAGACTTCTCAATGAAACCGCCACCGCGGAGGGGAGGCCGCCGCGCCGGGCTGCCGGCACCACCGCCATGCTGATTGCCGCGCCTTCTGGCCTGGTATCCCCCGACCGCCGAGACCAGCGCGTTGCCCGCGACCACGAGTGCGAGGACCACCCGCGGCGGCCCCTCTGGGCAGCTGAGCCCCGGGCAGGGCGGGCACAGCGCCTGAGGGCAGACCAGCTCCGGCGTCGGGCAGGTCAAGTTCACGCAGGTCGGCGGCGGCGGGCACGGCGGCGGGACCCAGCAGGGCTCTCCGCTGCCGCCCGCGGCGGCCCAGCTGGCCACAATGCCTGTGACCGCACCGCGCCCGATCTCCCGTGCAGCAGTCTGGAGGAGATCGCCCACAGAAACCGGGAGCACCATCTGCGGTGCGACGCCTCAAAAACTTTGAGCATAAACGGGCAGCGGTGCAACCCAGCTTGCAACTCCCACTACGCTCTCATTCCAGTCCCAGACAGTGCCATCACCACCGAAAAAATGAATCACTATTGTGGTATTCACACCTGCATATGGTTGGGTCCTTCGTCAGGCTAATTCCAAAAGAACTCCCCCTGGGGCTTCGGCCCGTCCCGCCGGCCACTCGGAAAGGCGCTCAAAACGCGTCCGTCGTGCCTCTGTTTCCTCCAGTTGGCCCAAGATGGCGTCCAAGACGGCCAGGATGGCCCAGGATGGTCTCCAAGACGTCTCCAAGACAGCCTCCAAGAAGGCTAAGATGGCCCCAAGATGCCTCCAAGACGGCTTAAGATGGCCTCAAGATGGTCGAAGACGGCCCAACAGGCCCGCAAGAGGCCTCCAAGACGGCCCAAGATCCCTCCAAGACGTCCTCCAGGAAGGCCCGAAAGGGCCCAAATCATTGATTTCCCCTAGGTTTTTGGACGATTGTGGCATTTGCGCCTTTTCGGCTTCCCGACGGCCCGAGACGGCCCAAGAGGCCCCCAAGATCGCCCAAGAGGCCCCCAAAAGGACCCCATGACGGCCCAAGTGGCCTTCAAGACGGCCCCAAGAGGGCCCCAAGACGGCCCAAGAGGCCTCCAACACGCCCAAGATGGCCTCCAAGACGCCCAAGATGGCCTTTAAGATGGTCCCGAAGCGCCCCAAGAAGGCCCCAAGTCGGCCCAGAAAGGCCCCCAAGACGGCTCCCGACGGCGTCAGACGTGCCAGGAACCCACCAAGATGGCCGAAGTTGGCTCGAAGCTCCCGAAGATCGCCGAAAGATCGCCCAAGAAGCCTCCAAGATGGCCCCAGAACGGCCCAAGAGGGCCCCAAGACGGCCCCAAGAGGCCCCCAAGACGGCACATGAGGCCTTTAAGACGCCCAAGATGGGCCTCCAAGACGGCCCTGGAGCATTCCAAGAGGGCCCCAAGTCGGCCCATAGAGCCCCTCCAAACGGCTTCCGACGGCGTCAGACGGACCAGGAGCCCACCAAGACGGCCGAACATGGCCCTAAGATGGCCCAAGACGGCCCAAAAGGCCTCCAAAAGGGCCTCCAGGAAGGCCCGAGAAGGCCAAAATCATTAATTGTCCATAGGTTTTTGAAGGATTGTGGTATTTGCTTGTTTCCTGCCTTCCGCCGGCCCGAGACGGCCCAAGTGCCCCCAAAGATCGCCCAAGAGGCCCAAGACACGGCCCCAATAGGGCCCTAAGACGGCCCAGGAGGTCTCCAAGACGCTGAAGATGGCCTCCAAGACGGCCCAAGAGCCCTCCAAGACGTCCTCCAAGAAGGCCCGCAAGGGTCAAAATGGCCTCCAGACGGCCAAGATGACCTTCCAGATGCCCACGTGTTCCCCGAAAGCTTTCCAAACCGATTCGGGGAACACATGCTCCGATAGCTTGGCAGGTCTGGCCTCAACGTTCGGCCACATAGGCGCTTCCAAAAAGGCAGGGGGCGGCGGTGATTCGCCGTAGGCGTCTTCGATAATGACATACTTGTACTCAACACGAGAGTTGGGCACAAGGCGTACGGAGCCAGTCCAAGTAGGAAAGCCGCTTCCGTCGAAGCGCACTGCAGCATCAGCATTCCAGTCTCCAAGGGCAGGACCCTGGCCCACCATAGCGACAGTGTCACCAGGAGCAGTTAAGCTACAGTAAATCTCCACTGAGACCTCTTGGGTTTCGTCCATGGCAGAAGATGCTGGCACCCGCGAGGCTGAAACACGTGAGAGGGCTCTTGCTTGGGCGAACGACTACAGACTTACATGCAAGAACATGCAATCAGGCCCGCTTTCCTCAGGACACATGTCCCCGTCATGGCGAAGAGCATTGCGCCGCCAGGAAAAGTCCACATCAACAGCTGCTGCACTGCTGCACTCCTGCCAAAGATCTCTGGGGAGCGGTGGATGTCGATAAGTGCCCGGCTTCGGGGGCCGGCAGATATCCACACCCACCATTCCTCGAGGGCCCTCGAGGCTTCGGGACACGACTCCGAGGTGGTGGATGTGGATATGTATACTTTGGAGCGGAAAGACGGCAGCTTCACGTCGCGATGGCGGGGATATTGGTTTCTGACATCACGTGGACGGTTCCCACATGAACGATTGCGGCCTTCCGAAGGCGCGGATAGTTCGGTATCGACCGGTTGCAGGCCACTGGTGGCGCTAAACCTTCAGCGCCCGCGGAGAGGTGGCCGCCGCGTCAACGCGGCGCGAACTTGCCGTAAGCGGTCGACATTCGATCCACACCCCTGCTACTATCACAACTCTCCAGTGGGCTGGGCCGAGATGCACCACAACGCAACGCAAGCATTGGGCCGCATCAGACCGTTGGAATACCGGAAACCAATCGGATTGGGCCGTCTGGAGTCTACATCGGATCGTATCGATCGGATCGACATGGACACTGCAGGATGCTTATCCACGCCCTGCCCCCCGCCGCCTGGAGTGGAGGGGCCTCTGGGGGAACGAAAAGATCCCCCACCGTGCCTCTGGCACGAAGTGGAGTGCCCCGATGCTCATGCAGCCCTGGGAGGTAAAGGATTTGCAAGGTTCTTAATGGCCTGGACCCCTGGTTTCCCAGGCACTCTTGGGGTGCGTCGCCTGGGCGCTTGTGGCGTCAAGAAACCCAAGACGGGCCAAGAGGCTCCAAGAGGCCGCCCAGACGGTTCAGGAGCGCACAGAATCGCCGAAAGATCACCCCGAGACGCCCAACATAGCCAACAAACGGCGCAAAAGGCCTCGAAGACGTCTCAAGAGGCCTCCCAGAGCACTGCCAAGAGGACCCCAAGAAGCCAAAATCATTGACCTGCCATTCAGTTTTCGAATGATTTCAGCGTTCTCCCCTTTTCGGCTTCCCGACGCTCCAAGACTGCCCAAGAGGCCCCCCACATCGCCCCAAGGCAGCCGACGAGGCCTCCAAGAGAGCTCCAACACAGTCCAAAAGGGCCCCAAGACGGCCCAAGAGGCCTCCAAGACGGCCCAAGAGGCCCCCAAGACGGCTCCAAGAGGGGGCCCAGACAGGGGACCCGAACGGACATTTCGAGCCCTCAGCCCCGAGAGGTTCCCCAAGAGGCTCCCAGGAAGCCCCAAGAGGCACCCACGAGGCTCCCGAGGCCCTCCAGAGGTCCCAAAGAGGCCCCCAAACTGTCCCCCAGAGGCCCCCGAGAGCGCTCCGAAAAGACCCCAAGAAGCACCCCTGAAGACTTTGACCCACAACTCAGGCACAGTGTCAGGATGGGCCGAAGGCTATTAAACCCTACTCGGCACGGGGTCGGAAGGCGCGAGTATTTCGTGAGGGCGCGCGATCGCTTGCTTTGGGTCTTGGAGCCCTCTTGGTGTTAAGGCTTCGGTACGTCAGACAAAAATCTAACACACGAACTTGCGAACATCAGTGAATATGGCCTGTCCAAGCCTTCGTGGGGCTCCTTGTGGAGCTCTTTGGGCCTTCTTGTGGCCCTCTTGGGCTGTCCCGGGACCCTGTTGGGCAATCTTGGGGGGCTTGGGCCGTTTGGGGGCCCTCTTGAAGCGCTTTTGAACCCTCACAGGGGGCCGCCAGCGGCCCTCTCGGAGCTCCCTTGGGGACCTTTTGGGGCCCTCAGGGGCCCTCTTGGGCCGTCTTAGGGCTCTGTGGGGCTGTGTTGGGGCCCACTTGAACCGTCTTTGGGCCCTCTTGGGGGCCTCTCGGGCCGTCTTGGGAGCCTCTGGGGCAGTTTGGAGACTATCTTTGGGACCTCTTGGGCCGCCTGAGACCCTTCTGGGCCCGAAAAGGCGAGAACCCCAAAAACACTGGAAAACCTTTGGACAAAAACATCGTGTTTCGCCTCCTGAAGCCCTCTAGGGAGCCCTCTTGAGGGCAATGTTTGTACTCTTGGGCGGTCTTGGGGCCAGCCCAAGCAGCCCAGTCCCCACACCGCCTCTTGGGACCCCTTGCGAATCTCTTCGGAGCCTGTTGGGGCCCTCTTGGGGCTCTCTTGGGGCCGTCTTGGGGCCATCTGGGGCTGGTTTGGGGCCCTCTGGGGCCGTCAGGGAGCCTCTTGGATTGTTTTCGGCCCCTTTGGGGGGCCTCTGGGGCCGTCTTGGGATGATCTTAAAGGCCTCTTGGGCCGTCTGTGGCCCTTCTGGGACCGAAAAGGGCAGAACCCGAAAAACCTGCAAAAACCATAGAGAAAGTAATGTGTTTGGCCTCCTGAGGCCCTCTCGATGGCCCTCTTGAGGGCCTCTGGAGCCGACTCGAAGCTCTCTTGGACCGTCCGGGGGCCATCTGAAGCTCTCTTGGGGCCGTCTTTCGGTCGTGTTGGTGCCCTCTTGGGCCGTCTTGGGGCCCTTGAGCCCCTTCCATCGAACAAATATGAGGAAACGGGCCATGGAAGGCGCCCGCGAGCCGCTTCACTCGAACAAAGTGATAAGGAAACGGCCCCCCGGGCGGCCATCACATCCAGGGTCCACGCTCCTCGCCCCTCCCCTGGACTACCTCCCTTTAGGGCTTCGCCCCACACTAGAACGTCATCACTCGTACCGGGCTCACGCAACCTTTCGCTCTTGGGAGCCTTGGTGCCAAGAGCTTGTTACGTCACCACTCTCTGTGGGGAGCCCTGGTGTTC